AACAGGTTTTTATTAAAATTAACTTTTGCTTAAGAATGAATAAATGAGTGCATTTTGCATTGTAATCATTTTGGTTTGATGATTTAAAAACAAAGGACTTGTAGGAGGCAGAAGTCTAATACACATGGATTAGCTTTTACTTCAATTTTATGATTACTTTCCTTTGCAAATATTGGCTATGTATTTATTTGGAGAGGGGGAGAAACATTGATTGGTTGTCTCCTGCACAAGCCCTGACCAGGGACCAAACCTGCAAGCTTTCTCCTTTGTAGGACATTGCCCAACCAGCTGAACCATACCAGGTAGAGCAGCTTTTCCATCTTTTAATAGTTCGGTTGTTGTGTTTCAGTTCACATTTTTAGGGACTCTTGATGCTCTATATCCACTCTGTGTAGGACTGATAAAACAGTTTTCATAGTTTTCCTTGAGTGCAGGTACCTGGCAGATTTGCTTAAAATTAAATCCATGGTCATATTATACAACTGTGCATTTTTCAAAACTCAGAACTGTACATCAAAGAGTGCATTTTACTTACATAAATTTAAAAAAAATTAGCTATAAATATGTTGGGAAAATGCAGTTGAAAGAGAGGTGGTAAACAAAATATATATTTATTTTCTTTGTTGGTATAAAACTTGAGAAATTTTTATTGCTGGGAAAACAGATTTTGGTGCTTCAAAATTGAGACCTTTTTGGTATTCAGAAACCCGGTCAAAGGGAGAAGTGAACGTTAGAAAACTTGTTTCCCTTTATACACTTAGTTTGACACTGGTTATGTTGAAGTCTTATGACTGAACAATACTTTTGTTTACATTGTTTCTTTTTTTTAATTTTTTAATTTTGTATAGTTTAATGTATTTTAATAGCAAACTTACAGGAACAGCACAGAAGACAGACAGCATTAAAAACATACTTGCATGTAGGACAACTCAGTTAGAAAAGTAGAGCGAATGGATGGAATCTACTGTATGATAAAAATGCTACAAACACCATTTAGTTGCCATCAATAAGAAATTTACTTGTTTTAAAAAAATCCAAATGCTGGCATTGTCCAGAAAAATTTAACAGGTTTATTTATATTGTTATAAAGTTGAACTGCTTGAAACTTGTTCACTGAAACAGCTCGACTTGCATTAATGCTTTATGTCCCTGAATTTATATTAAAAAAATTCACACACAAATGAAAATGGAAAAACTGCCAATACCTGATTTCTGTCCCCTATTTTCCACTTGCAATCATATAATCAGGTACCTTCTGACCCCATGGGAAAAAAATATCTAACGTTCAGAACTACCAATAGCAGGAAGAAGAGAAAAAAAATTTTTTTTTTTTTAAAGACTGAAATGTTTCCCATCATAGTGGATTCTTAAGCACATTCTCCACATATGCGGCGTGCTAGCTGGATGTCTTTTGGCATAATTGTTACACGTTTGGCATGGATAGCACACAGGTTGGTGTCTTCAAAAAGGCCAACCAGATAGGCTTCACTTTACCTCCTGCAAAGCACCAATAGCTGCACTCTGGAAGCGCAGATCTGTTTTGAAGTCCTGAGCAATTTCTCGCACCAGACGCTGGAAGGGAAGTTTGCGAATCAGAAGTTCAGTGGACTTCTGATAACGTCTAATTTCACGAAGTGCCGCAGTACCAGGCCTGTAACGATGAGGTTTCTTCACCCCTCCAGTAGAGGGCGCACTCTTGCGAGCGGCTTTGGCAGCCAGTTGCTTCCTCGGTGCTTTACCACCGGTCGATTTGCGGGTAGTCTGCTTTGTACGAGCCATGGTACAGAGACCTCTTTACTTACCCCCCTTCTCCTTTGCCTGGAGCTTGGCGAGCTGGAGGAGGCGCTGGCGTTAGAAAGCGACGGCAGCTGTGAACACAATTCTACATAGTTTCTTGACGTTAGTAGAGCTTGATTTCTACATTGGGAAAAAATTTGCTGCCAAAAGAGGAGCTGTGGTACTTTAGTTTCTTCAAAAGAGTAAGCTTTATTGATTTTTTCAGATTTTTATGTGTTAGCCACACTTTAAGAAAAGGATCTACCTTGGCTGGTATGGCTCAGTGGATTGAGCAGTGGCCTACTAACCACTGGTTTGATTCACAGGCCAACTACCTGGCTGGGGGCATGTGAAGGGCAGCCAGTTGATATATCTCACACACTGATGTTTCTCTCCCTCTCTTTGTTCCTCCCTGTCTCTGTAAAAATGAATAAGTAAAGTCTTTGATGAAAAAGAAAAAAATAGGATCTATATATTTCTTTACAGTGAAGCATACTCTTCATGTAGTGAGACTAAAAAAATCTTACTACATATTTTCATTTAAATTTTTGAGGCAACAAACTTGCTGTGGTTTCTTGGATTAGGATGTTATGTCTCAGTTTTCTTTAAAAGTCAGCTGTGGAATTGGTTGCATAGTTTTGTCATAAAGTTTTGAGTATAAAACTAAGTGAAGAGAAAATAAAACAGTGTTTAGCTTTTAAAGTGAATGAAAATAATCTAAATTATAAACCAAAATTTGTATGCTATATTATTAAAAATAGTACAAAAGGATCTTTCATAATTCTGAAGCAATCTGTGAAAAAAAGGAACTTTCCAAATAGTAATTTTTTCTCTGGTTCATTTTAAAAGCTGTAAGTTGATTATGGCTTTGGGATGACTGTGTATCTATTCTAAATTTTCCTGTATGTGACATTTTCCTTATTTTGATCATACTGGCTCCTATTGCAGTATCCTCAGTTTTCTTCAGTTTCTTTCTCTCTTGGGTGCACTTTTCCTCCTCCTCATCCCAACCATGTATCCTTTGTTTTTATTATTTATTTATTATGCTCGGATAGGATTATCTAGAAATATTAACCTTGCAAAGATAAGTAAATTAGGTCTGTTTTATTGAATGCTGCCCACACTACTTTTCTATTTCTATTGCCTACTCCAAAATCTAGCCTTGGCATAGAATTCTTAGGTAAAAGGTGGTAGCAGTGGAAGTGATAAAGTGTGGAACAGGACTAGGATTGGAGGATGTTCAAAAGTATTCCTTCTCTGTTTCAGAGAGTCAGTGTTTTACAGCTACTTGATAATTTCTCTTAGCATACCAGTCTTCATAGCCATTCTCTTTCCAATGTTTTTCAAAGGTTGTATGATTACTTACATCACAAGATTTTTCAGAAAAGTCAGCTCATCACACATTTGCCATATGACATTAAATTTGACAAAATAATCTTTAATTCTCTCTATATATCCTGTATCTCTCACAGTTTAATATAAAATTATAAACTAATTAGCCCTGCAAGCTCAGCTTATCTTTTAAATACTATTCTAGATTGTAGCTATAATTGTAACTCTTAAAGTTATTGTTAGAAATTATTTATTTTTTATTATAGGATGGACTACATATTATTAGACCCTATATTTTATTACTTGGGTAACATGATATGTGTGTATATGTATATTCCTAAGTAAAACTGAATGAAGACATTTAGTACTATTTTGGTTTTAAAACTTGATAGAAGTTTTAAAATGTACATTTAAAAATAATAAACTTATATTGACAAGTAGTAGTATTTAGATGAGTAATCTCAAATATTTTGGTCTCAGACCCCATTACATTCTTCAAAACTGAGGATCCCAAGAACTTTTGTTTACATGTGTACAGTAGAACAGTAGTTACTGTATTTTAAATGAAAATTGAGAAAAATTTTAAGATTAATTTAAAATGATAAACCTATTTTATGTTAACATAAGTAATTTCTGAAAAAGAACTTTTTTGAAACATTTGTGGGAAGAGCGCCATTGCTTTACATACAGATTTCTTTAATGAATTGCTGTTTAATGGAAGACACCTGGAGTCTTTGTCAGCCTCTGTCTTACACCTGTTGCAGTAAGTTATTTTGGCTGAAATATACCAAGAAAATCAAATCTGGCTTTGCACAGATGTGTAGATGGTGAGGGGAGGAATATTTTAATAGACTTTTCTGATAACTGTGATTCTTCTTTGATGCTATACCAAAACTTAAAGGTAAGTTGCAGCATAGAATCTGAAGTCATATATATTTTTTTATTTTTATTGTTCAAATACATTTGGCTCCACTTTCCCACCATCACTTTCCCTTGACCCCCTCCTCCACCTCCCCCCTCAATCCTTCCCCATTTTGGCTTTGTCCATGGGTCCTTTATACATATTCCTTGATTTGACCCTTCCCTGTCTTTTCCCCATTACCCCCCTCCCTCCTTTCCTCTCATTACTGTTGGTTTGTTTGTTTTTTTTTCAATGTTGCTGGTTATGTTTTTGTTGCTTGCTTGTTTTGTTGATCTCACCACTTATAGGTAAGATCATATGGTATTTGTCTTTCACCCCCTGGCTTATTCTGCTTAGCATAATGCTCTCCAGTTCCATCCATGTTGTTGCAAAGGGTAGTAGCTTGCTCTTTTTGCTGCGTAGTATTCCATTGTGTCAATGTACCATAGTTTGTTGATCCACTCATTTATTGATGAACACTTAGGTTTCTTCCAGCACTTGGCTATTGTGCTGCTAGGAATATGGGGGGCATAGGTTCTTTAGAATTGGTGTTTTGGGATTCTTAGGATATAACCCCAGCGTATTTTTTAACATACTGATCTGTTGATTTTTTTTACCCATGCATGATTTATAACATGCATTGGTGATTTGAACCAGTTCACTGTGTTATGTAGATTTCCAGATCTCTTTGTATTTTATTATATAGTACCTCATCCCCCACCCCCCAAAAAAACCTCACACATATTAATGTCACCACTTATTAGAAAAGTGTTTGTTAATGGAAAGCTGTCAAGGTCCTAAGTGGCAAACAGTGCTTTCCAAAAGTCTTGTCTTCACTCAAAATTCAGTTTTTATCATTGGCAAGAAATACTGTCATTTTTTTCTTGAGGTGCCAGGCTCATTTTTTTTTTTTTGTTTTTGTTTTTGTTTTCAAGAAAATGTCTGCCAGATACCTAATCTGAATGGCCATCGTTTAGTTATTTGTTCTTTCTGTCCCATGACAAAAGCAGTTGGTTCATTTCAGCTTGCAACTCAATTATATCCGTGCTTTTTCTCCAGGCAGTTTCTGCTGGTATGTGGCAGAAATGTGTGTTTACTTCCTATTTTGTCACACAGGTATCAAGATGTAATAAAATGAAGAATTCTTACTGCTTCATTAAGAACATTCTTAAATGAAAGTGGCTATCCCCAGTTTGATGTGGTGAGGAAGAATGTGGACTAACAGCACAGTTTGGTACCATGTATTGCCTTGTGTGATTCCTGCTGAGGCTTCAGCTGTGTCTGCTCACCATTGCTTTCACAGTGCTAATGATGCAAAAGCAAGTAGCACCTCAATATTATTATGAAAATAGTATTGACCTCATGATGCCCTGAAAGAGTCTTAGGGACACCCAGGTTTCTGCCCACCACGTTTTGAAAACTGATGCTTTAGACAGTACAGGATGGCTTTGATTACTGTCCTGGTGGTTTAAAAAAAAACTTTAGTTCTCTAGGGAAGAATGAATTGTAGCTTTCTCATTTAATGCTTTTACTTGTGGCTTTAATTGTAATTTTGCCTTTGAAACAGAAGAGTGCCATTTTTAAATAGATGTCTGCATGAGAGTACATGCTTGGATTTATATTTCTGTGCTGCTTTCTTTTAAATACCACATTTTGTAATTGGGGCTCCAGACTAAAGAGCTCATTCTCTTCAGACACTGAGTAGCTTTGTCTCTGACAGCTAGTAGTCAGCTCTCTCTGTTTTAAAACAATCAGTTGGGTGTTGCTGGCTCAACTTGCAGTTGTCCTAGTCCTAACCCTGTCTCAGCCAAAGACTGTTGTTGGAAAGTCCACACAAAAGCCTGTGTACAGGGAGCCCTACTAATATTCAGTGTGTTCTAGCCTCAGCAGATTAAATCTGCTTTGGTGTGCATTCCTTTCCCAAATTTCTCAGTTATTACCTTGATTTGCCTTGTTTCAGTGAAAGATCATTTTTAATGTCTATGAAGATAGTTTTTTCTAATTATTACATAGTGTAAGTGAAGAGGATTATTGGAGTAAAATAAAATGTTTATTTCTCTATGGTAGGATGTGATGGAGTTGCTTGAAGAAGACCTTACATGCCCAATTTGTTGCAGTCTGTTTGATGATCCTCGAGTTTTGCCTTGCTCGCACAACTTCTGCAAAAAATGTTTAGAAGGGATCTTAGAGGGGAATGTGCGGAATTCATTGTGGAGATCATCTCCATTCAAGTGCCCCACATGCCGTAAGGAAACTTCAGCTTCTGGAGTTAATAGCCTGCAGGTTAATTACTCCCTCAAGGGTATTGTGGAGAAGTATAACAAGATCAAGATCTCTCCCAAAATGCCAGTGTGCAAAGGACACTTGGGGCAGCCTCTCAACATCTTCTGCTTGACTGATATGCAGCTGATTTGTGGAATCTGTGCTACCCGTGGTGACCACACCAAACATGCCTTCTGTTCTATCGAAGAAGCCTATGCTCAGGAAAGGGAGGCCTTTCAGTCCCTCTTTCAGAGCTTTGAGACCTGGCGTCGGGGAGATGCTCTTTCTCGCTTGGATACCTTGGAAACTAACAAAAGGAAATCTCTACAGTTACTGACTAAAGATTCAGATAAAGTGAAGGAGTTTTTTGAGAAATTACAACACACATTAGATCAAAAAAAGAATGAAATCCTGTCTGACTTTGAGACCATGAAGCTTGCAGTTATGCAAGCCTATGACCCAGAGATTAACAAGCTCAACACCATCTTGCAGGAACAGCGAATGGCCTTTAACATTGCTGAGGCCTTCAAAGACGTGTCAGAACCAATCATATTTCTGCAGCAGATGCAGGAGTTCAGGGAGAAAATAAAAGTAATCAAGGAAACTCCTTTACCTCCCTCTAATTTGCCCACAAGTCCTTTAATGAAAAACTTTGATACCAGTCAGTGGGAAGACATAAAACTAGCAGATGTGGATAAACTTTCTTTGCCTCAAGACACTGGCACATTCGTTAGCAAGATTCCCTGGAGTTTTTATAAGTTATTTCTGGTTGTCATTCTGCTTGGTCTTCTCATTTTCTTCAGTCATCCTATATTTCTAGAGTGGTCTTTATACGATGAATTCTTAATTTGGAAAGACCAGCTTTCACACTTCAGTTCCTATCTGACTAAATCACCTGATTTTGTGGAACAGTCAGTTTTTTACTGGGAACAGGTGACAGGTGGGCTTTTCATTTTCAGTGAAAGGTTCAAGAATTTTACTTGGGTGGTGCTAAATAATGTGGCAGAATTTATGTGCAGATATAAATTATTATAAAATCTGTTTCAAGTGCATAGTTCTCTTTTGTTAGACATTTGTTAGAGAACAGTGGCTTCAAAAGTATTTAAAAAAGAATGTCTTAACACATGTTCAAATTAGGTAGCATAAAGGTAAGAGTGAAACTTAATAGTACAGTCCTGAACCCTCCTTCCTTTTAAAGAGTACTTTTGAAATAGGCATCTTACCCCCAATATTGATTGCATTTATGCTATGTTAAAAGAGGAGGTGAGAGAGCACATGATTTAATATTGTATTGATGAGGTAATATAATAGTGATTGTTCACTTAAGCATGTAATAAAGACTGACTACTGTTGTAAAGAATCTTATTTTTGAGTGGACATTCTTTTAAAAGAAAGAAACAGGTGGATTGAATTTCCAGATTTATCTGCCACGGGTTGATTTCTGCTAAAGTGTAAATTTTGTGATAAGTGTACATTTTTAAGACGGTGGAGATTTCAGCTTGGCTTTTTCTCCTTAGGTATTATAAATTTGTCAACAAAGGAATTTGGTGATAAACTACAGAAGTGTTAGGTGGCTATACAACAAAGGCATGGGATTTTTTTTTTTAAAGCCTAATGTGACAACAGAAGAAAACGTGAAAGTGTCCCTTCTACTGACAGCTAAGTATGTGTTGTCCCAAAGTATCATGGCAACTGTACAACCAACTACTCACTTACTTAAAGAATTTAAGAGATGGAGTGTCATCCCATATACCAAAAAGTGTTGCTGGTTTGATTCCTGGTTAGGGCACATACCTAGGTGTGGGTTCGATCCCCATTTGGGGTGTATACAGGAGGCAACCGATTGGTGTTTCTCACTTCGATGTTTCTCTCTCTAAAAATCAATAATAATTTAAGAGTAATTAAGACTAATTTGACAATAGATGAAACAATCCATTGGCTACTATAAAGCACAAAGTAATCACTAAACATTAATGCTGTCCTATATGTTCACATGAGATAAAAATGCCATATCTCCCAAAGAGTACAAAAATTTAATTTCCTTGTTTAGAAATTACTGTTTTTAGATAAAAACAAAAGTAACCTTATCTCAGAACTGCTCTCTAGTATATCTTATATCTGCCATGGAACATGATATTTCTTTGAAAGCACAGAGTGTCTTTATCCCAGTCTTAGTTTGGTTGACAGGAAATAATACAAAGGGAACAAGAAAAAAAGATGGCAACAAAATTTAAAGTACAGAAAAATTGTTCTAGTTATAAGAGTCAAGCTGCTAGTGTAGGTAATGGCTGGCTCATCCATAACTGACATTTTGTGATTGAAATTGCTGAAGGTATCATAAGAAATGACTTTGTACATGTTATAGTAGATCTGCCATAAAAACTTACAGTAGATAGGTTTGGGGGGAGGGAGTCTCTCTGTCGCAGTTTTGTTTTTTTAAAATACAGATTTACAATAGCTTTTCATGGAGAATATTTTTTTATGAAATACAGGAAGGGGATCTACAGGGTCCAACACAACACTCCTTTTTTATTTCAAAATCATAAGTAATTCTGTAACAACAATATATTCAAGCACACCATATTCCATTTTAGGTGAAATGTTCAAATTAAAACTATAAATTACTACATTTTTATTATTACCCTACCAATCACACTCAAGCAGGCATTATTTCTGCTAGACCCTGTATTTGACATCTATCCTTAGATATATGGGCAGTTTTCTCGTGTGGGTTTTTTTTTTTAATGTTTTTGTTTACTGCAAGTACCCAAGCAACTCAAATTTGCAAACACAGCTATGGATACACTATTTGCTTTACAGTAGTTACCTGGAAATTTAGGACTCTTGTTTCTTTATTTTCCCCTCCCTTTCCCTTATCAATCATGCATAACTAATAACATTTATGGTTATAGTTTGATTTACAAGTTCTTAAGACTGGCTGATGGTTTGTAGCCTCTAGTCTGAAGCAAGAGGAGGGGCCAGGAACTAGTCATTTTAAATGTGGGAGGGAAGATATTCACAAGGTTTTCTACCATAAAGCAGTTTCCTGCCTCTAGGTTGACAGGAATGTTAGACGGTAAAACCAAGAATTCAAGATGATTGATGACCACATTTTTGTAGACAGAGATGGTGATTTATTTAGTTTCATCTTAGATTATTTTGAGAAAGGTTTATATTACCCACTAATTTTTCAGACTATCTTAGGCTTCAGAGAGAGGCTTTTTTTCTGTGAACTTGACCCTTTGGTTGATCTCTTAAACCAAAAAGCCAAGACCTGCTTTTGTGGAGTTATATTTCCTAGGCAGAAACACTCAAGCTTTTTTCAGGGTTTTTGGCTCTTGCAGCAAAAACAATTGAGATGCTAATTGGAAGAATTACAATGTTTGTAGAGCAACCTTCAGCACCCACCGAGAGTAGTAATTCTTACCCCCCTCAGATGACCTTATTTCCATTGCCTGCACAGAGACCTTACCATGACCTGGTTTTGCAGTGAGGCTCGGACAGCATTACTGATAACCAAAGTGTAGTCAGGTATTTTGTACTTTGAAAAATCTCTCTTCTATACCAGTTCCTGATGTTTCCCACCAAGAATTAAAGTTTCTCATGCCTCAACCTCTGGAAAAAAATGATGATTCAAAATAATGTTTTGTAACCAGCAGAGTTGGGTAGAATGCCCAGAAGGCTATTGTCTAAACCGGGATGCTTTTCAGAGTGAAAGAGGGTATTGTTATTATGTGGGACAATAGGAATAAACCAAACTGACCAGGGAAAACTGGGTCTGTGGTCACTAAAGTTGTAGGAGGAAATAAGTTTATAGATGATGACCCATTTATTGCTAATGAATTTGTCTTAGGAATGAATTCCCCCTCCCCTACCCCCCAGGAGATTCTTTAAGTGGCTGCCACAGGGGAGGCTCAATAGTTTGTCCTGGTCTCACACTTCATGTATATCTCTTTTTTTCAGGCCTTATGATTTGACTACTGATTTTCCTCCAAGCCACTTTATTTTTTTGGGCAGTTTTCCCCTCTTTGCCCACCTCTTCATCCACCTCTTCCTGGTTGCCCCCTTCCCTCCAGCGATCCCCAGCCCACTTTACTTCATGTCCATGGGTTATGTATATAGGTCCTTTGGTTTCTCTGTTGCCTATACTGTGAACATCTCTCTATTTTGTACCTACCTCATTATCTTCTACATCCCTACACCTTCTCCCCTATTCTCCCCCTTCCCCCTGCATATAATAACCCTCCAGATAATCTCCATATCTATGATTCTATTCCTGTTCTAGTTGTTTGCTTAGTTCTTTTTTTAGATTCAGTTGATAGTTTTGAGTTTGTTAGCATTTTAATTTTCATAATTTTGATCTTTTTCCTAAAAATCCCTTTAACATTTCATATAATAAGGGCTCGATAATGATGGACTCCTTTAACTTTACCTTGTCTGGGAAGCACTTTATCTGTCTTTCCATTCCAAATCATAGCTTTACTGGATAGAGTAATCATTGTAGGTCCTTGCCTTTCATCACTTTGTATACTACTAGCCCGTCCCTTCTTGCCTGCAAAGTTTCTTCTGAGGAATCAGCTGACAGTCTTACAGGAACTCCATTGTAGGTAACTGTCTGCTTTCTCTTGCTGCTTTTAAGATTCCCTCTTTATCTTTTAACTTCTGGCATTTTAATTATGGTGTGTCTTGGTGTGGATCTCTTTTGAGTCCAACTTGTTTGGGACTCTGTGCTTCTTGGAGTTGTATGTCTATTTCCTTTGCCAAATTAGAGATGTTTTCTTTCATTATTTTTTCAAATAAGTTTTCAATTTCTTGCTCTTCCTCTTCTCCTTCTGGCATCCCTATGATTTGGATGTTAGCCCTTTTGGAGATATCCCAGAGTCTTCTTAAACTCTCCTCGTTTTTTCTGAATTCATGTTTCTTTGTTTTGTTCTGGTTGAAATTTTATTTCTTCCTTATGTTCCAAATCATTTATTTGAATCCCAGCTTCCTTCACTTCACTGTTGGTTTCCTGTGGACTTTTCTTTATTTCCCTTAGTAGAGCCTTCATTTCTTCCCTTATGCTTTTGCTGTATTCAATGAGATCTTTGAGCACTCTGACCAGCAGTGTTTTGAACTCTGCATCTGATAGGTTGGCTATCTCTAAATCGTTTAGTTCTTTTTCTAGGGTTCTGCTCCTTCATTTGGGCCATATTTCTTTGTCTCCTGATTTCATCAGCCTCCCTGTGTCTGTGTACTAGGTAGAGCCGCTTTGGTTCCATTTTTAGTGCAGCTGTTAAGTTGTATGGGGCAGAGTCTTGGGTATTCACCAGGGAGGGGCAACCATGGCTCTATGTGCTGGGTAGGGGTCAAAAAGGGGACAGTGCTGCTGCTGGCTGAGTTCTGGGGGCTTGTCTGGCACTTGCCCCATTTCCAGTCACTTCACTCACTTCCTGTGACTGGCGCGCCTCCTGGTGCTGTCTTGGGTGTGGTTCCCAGGTGGGTAGGTTTGCGTATGTACCAGCAGTTTCTTCCACCACCCCATATCCTCCTGGGTTTATAGCCAGAGGTCATGTGGCTTTATTTTATCAGCACTGGATCCCTGGGCTGTGAAGTCTGGCCTGGGGCTAGGCTCACTTGCTCTCAAGGTATCTCCCTGATTTTTGTCCACACACTTGAATGTGGGGCTGCTAATTCTGCCAGCTGCCCCTGCCTCTCTGCCCCAGGCTCACTACACCATACCAAGTGCTCTCTGCCATAATTCCCTGTGTTCACCCCTCCTAGCCCTCTGGATTAGTATAGCTTCTTTAAATCATTGGTTGTAAGACTTCCATGCAGTTCTGGGTGTTTTTCGATCTTAAGTTAGTTTTGTTCCTTTTTATAGTTGTGCAATGAGGTGAGGTGTGACTACGTAGCCTCCATCTTGACCAGAAGCGCCCCTTTATTTTTCAACACCATTAAGGCAGATATATCCCGTTGAAAATTGGTATCCTTTTACATCTTTGGCATTCTTAGACAACTGAAAATATTGGGATAGGCTGTCAGTATGTTAAGGACAGTTGCTCCTGAGTCACTGAGTTATTCACTTTTCCCCTCTATTGTTCTTGCCTGGACCCTAGAGCTAATTTTCACTCTGCTGTCAGGAATCTCCCCAAACCTCCCTTAAATATATCTTAATGCTGTCCCACCATTATTTTACTAACTGTGAAAGTTGGGTTCAATTTTCAGAAGGGAAAAAAAAGTATGCATATGTTCTTTACCTACAGTATTTAAAATAAAATTAACTTGGGGGAGTAAAGGTAGACATTATTTTAGGTTATTCAACATTGGCCATCAGGAATGACCAATGTTTGTGCGCCCCCGCCCCACCACACACCTCTTGGCTTTGCAACTGGAGAACACTGGACAGTATACTTCTTAACTTTTTATACTTACAATTTCCTGCCCATCCAAAGAGGTTGAAATGTCATTTGGGAAAATATAGCCAGATAAATTAATAGGCTGATTGTGAAGAAAAGTAAGCTCCTCTCGTTATCTCAAGTGGTTTTAAGATAACCTCTCTGCAGGAGGGTCAAGATGGTGAGGAGTGAGAGGAAGTCACACTGACCTCCTACCAGGATCAACCTGGAATTACAACTAAATTGTGGAGAAATCACCTGGAGCAAACAACTGAACAATGGTTAGAGAGGAGCCTTGTAACCTTGGAGACCGAAGAATCGGCTTTAGCGCAATTTAACTGGTAAGGAGTGCGGTACAGACCTGAGAAGGCGGGTGGGGCACCCACGGGCGGCAGCACCAGAAGCATATTGAAACAGCCAGTTGGATCCCCCCGGAGATGAGCGGAGTCTAAACCAAAAGTGGGGATCTCTAGCCCACAGCACCAGAGTCCAAAAGATAAACAGAAAACAACCAGCTGCAAAAAGCGGCAGGGTTGCTCTCTGCCAGAGACAAGCAGCTGAAAACACAAAGAGCTGTTTAACGGGCCAATGCATAAATTTTTATTTGCAGCCACTTACACTGGTCTCCAGCAAAGGCGAGGGAGAGTGGGCTAGAGACGCCTGAGGAGAGACTGGGGAAGGAGGCTTTGGGGAGAGAACTGAGGGAGTAGCTGGCGGGATCTTGGTGCTGACTCATCCCCCATAAGGCAGCGGCCATCTTGCTCAGGCGGAGACCACTCCCCATGAGTGGCATCAGCGTAAAAAGACCCAACAGCCCTGCCCCAAGATGGGATTCCACCCCGCCTCGTGCTGTCTAAGCTGCCTGCTGAGTGCACAGTGGCAGCCACAGAGAGTAGATCCCAGGCTAAAGGTGCAGAGAGAGGTCTGAAGACACTTGAGGAGAGACTGGGGACAAAGGCTTTGGGGAGAGAATGGAGAGAGTAGCTGGCGGGATCCCAGTGCTGACTCCTCCCCCCATAAGGCAGCAGCATGAGTGGACCCAACCCTGACCCCAGGAGGGACTTTGCCCCATCCTGAGCTGTCTAAGGTGGCCTGCTTAGTGCAGAGTGACTAGATTAAGAGCTGAAGGAGACAGCCACAAACAGTAGATTACTGGAATTCTCAAACAGACTGCCTAAGGTCAAACAGGGTCAACATCTGACATCATCAGAGGCAGATCCAGAAATTGAAAACAATGGTCTCTAACCATAGAAGTTCACACCACACAGTCAGGAGATCAAGATAGATCAACTTAAGAAGCAGAAGCAAAAGAGAAGAGTCTCACAAATAATGGGAAGACAAAGAAATATGCTCCACTCGAAGGGAAAGGAGGAATCCCCACAAAAAGAACTAAATGAAGTAGAGGCAAGTAAACTGTCAGATATTGAGTTCGAAACAATGGTTCTAAGGAAGCTCAGTAAGCTCAGTGCACTCAGAGAGAATTACCAAAAACTACAGGTATACTACAAGGAACTTACTGCAAACTATATCAGCATGAGAAAGGACATAGGAACTATCAATAAGAGACATGAGAAAATGAAGAATACAATTTCTGAATTGAAGAACACAGTAGAAGGAATCCAAAGCAGGCTTGATGAATCTGAGGACTGAATCAGCAAGCTGGAGGACAAGGTAGAAAAAAGCTCCCAGGAAGAACAAGAAAATGAAAAAAGACTCAAAAAGCATGAGGACACATTTAGGGAAATGCAGGACAACCTGAAAGGTAATAATATCTGTATAATAGGGATACCAGAAGGAGAAGAGGATGAAGAAGGGATAGAGAATCTCTTTGAAAAAGTAATGATGGAAAGCTTCCCTAACTGGAGGAGAGAAAAAGTCATACAAGTCCAGGAAGCACAGAGGGTCCTATTCAAGAGGTACCCAGTGAGGCCCACTCCAAGACACATCATCACTAAAATGGCAAATATGAAAGACAAACAGAGAATCTTAAAGCAAGCAAGGGAGAAAGAAGTAGTAACATATAAGGGAGCCCCAATACAGCTAGCAGCTGGCTTCTCAACAGAAACCCTGCAAGCCAGAAGGGACAGGCAAGAAATATTCCAAGTAATGAAAAGCAAAGGTCTGCAACCAAGTGAACCCAGCAAGGCTCTCAAT